TGCCTTTGGTTATATAAAATGGCAAATAGGAGAGGAGTTGAACAGATCAAAATTGAAACCCTGATCAGGAGCAACTTGGTACCTCAGAAAATTATTTACATGTGGACTATTGTCCTCATCTTTGTTGTTATTATCACATGCCAACTGTTGTGCCCTCCAGCCTTCATCAGGTAACCTTCAAGGAAATTAAAAACTGAATCCTTTATTTAATCTGGGACCGGGGGGGGGGCAGATTCTGCTGACAGTGTCTAGAAATAAGGATGTATGGAGAGAAAAGGATCCTCTGTAGAATAAAGTCAAAATACTGAAGATCAAATGTCTGAAAGAACTGGCACTTTTAAAATCAGCTAGGCTATATGGACCTTCTTAGTAGGACAAGCATAGAAATAAATACAATATGGGAGTGATAAATGAAGTAAAAAAAAAACAAAAAAGACTAAGGTTCTAACAGTAGCGGTAGAAAAAGAAAAGTCTTGGTGAGACAGAATTGGACTCACTTGCAAATCAGGACATCATATATCTGGGCCAATTCATTTGTGTCACAAAAACAAACTAATCCAGTTTTACTTAAGCCACAAAGACCTGACGAAGGCAATACTGTGCAACCCAATTTCATTGCTCCAACATTTGAGGATGTAATCTCAAGAACTTATTTTTTAAATGACAAGTCCCTTCTGGAATTTATCTCAGTATTATAATAAAAAAAAATAAAAAAAAAATAAGTAAATAAATCAAAATTCTTTTTGTTCAGCCTCATTCCCAATAGCTATTACACATCACATCACACTAGACCATTTCAAATGTCCAGCTTCCCAAAGAATATCAGGATGCAGACAAAGGAATTTTAACTACCACACAGACACCATCTCAGTTCTTGATAATGACTGCAAAAGTCAAAAGTAGTTGAACAAGAATAACAAAATATGAACTTCGGACAGTTTATCCACAACTTAGAGGGCAATACTCAACACATTATTTGAAAATTGGAAAAATACAATAAAAAAAAATTAAACAGACAGACCTTGTCAATTCTTTTTAACTAAACTTGTTTAGATGAATATTAGTTATATATACAGGGTGCGATGAATAAATTGTCGTCTAAAATTCACAAAAGAAAAAAAAAAAGAAAATTAACATTGACTTCACATTTTAACAGATATATTTACCAAAATTACACAACTTGAAATACTAAAGAGTAAATTTATTTAATAAAAATCGCCATTGGCCTCAACCATGACCTCTAGACAACTTCAGAATCTCCTGCAGCTCTTCTGGATGGTCTCCTTGTTTAAGTTGGTGAATGCTGCCATAGTCCTTGCCTTCAGTTCATCTTTGGTGTTACAAGGAGTTTTTGGTCTCTCGCTCAACTGCACTGCAAATAGTAATCAGGGAGGCTGCAGTCTGGGGAGTGAGGTGGCCAGATGTAAGGAGTGATATGGTTGCGGCCATAACTGGGTTCTCCTCCTTGTGTGGCATGGTGCAGACTCTTGTGACCAGACATAGGGTCTTCCAGGAGTCACCCTCTTGACCCAAGGCAGCATTATCTCCTCAAGGCACTTGATGTAAGCCTCAGTGTTGAGTCTGAGGCCCTCACCAACAAATTCGGGGTTTCTTTTTTCATGAGAAAGATCAGAATGAGTATTCCTAACTGCCATACCTTCATAATCACTTAGCATGGTCACGTTGTCGTCACATGGGCGATGCTTTCAAAACGTATTCCTAAAAATTTTTGATTATTTTGAATGAAAAAGAAAATGAAAAGAATTCTATTAGTGACAATGCTAAACGGAAAGCTGATCATTTTAAAAATTTTCAGTTATCTGTTTTGGATAAGACTTGTTTTTTATGTCCATCGTCTTTGTCAAATTGAACTGAATTGTATTTTAATGAATATTGTCTTGAAAAAGGTTTATTAAACCGAAATGTCAGACATCGACATTTCATTCATTTTAAACAACATAATTGCATTTAAGGATTTTTGTTTGTTTTTCCCAAATTTTTCTTCATATATATATATATATATATATATATATATGATTAATACAAATAAAATTTGTCACTTAGCAGATTTTCATAGACAAACTTTTCTGTAATTGTTCAATCCACTCTTCAGGAGGTTTCAGCAATTGAAATTGACTGCAATTTTTTTCTCATTTTTTTGTTATCTTTATGTTAAATTTTATGTAATTATAGATCTTCACTGATATCTTTATTTTATTATTCATGAATTACCATGACTTCTTGGCAAAGGTAGTGTAATTGTTTCCCATTGCCTTCTCCACAGTTTTGAATTCAGAGTTTTCTTTCTCCTAGACTGGCTCTCACCAAAGACAAGAGAGTGTCTAACCAACACTGCTATTTAACCTATATATAGCTGGGAGGGAGATGAGTTCTTTCTTTTCCCAAGGGTATTAGTGCAAAGTGAATACAACAGACTAGGGTGGAACTTCTTCTAAGCTCACTAATTATACCCCAATAACTGTTACACTATCTTCACATCTCAAGGTTGCACACTGAAAAATGGACAGAAGATAGATAAAGGATCAAAAGGATTTTTTTTAATCATAATATTCACTTCAAGCAAGACAGTAAAGCCACTAAACACAAGAAAGTGAAAGAATTAGAAAACAGAAAACATTACAGAGGAGCAAGAACAATACAAAAGTAACCAAGAAGACAGTAGATAACGACTGACATTGCATTTAAATTTTTGAAGATCAAAGTTAACCAAAAAGCATGGATCCAGAAGAGAGTTCCACAAACAAGAAGTGCAAAATAAACTGTTAGCATAGAACTTATGGCTATATCTTGCCAATTCAACAGTAAATTGATGAGACCTTACTGCCAATCTAGTACTGCGCTTAAATTCATGAAGTCTAGGTTCCATAGCGAAGAGCTCATTGGAACAATTACCATGAAAATATTTATAGAAAAGCACAAGGAAACAACTTTATGGTGGTGGGAAAGTGACCGAAGCCGAGATGCCAAGTTGAGACCAATAATATTGCTGATTCTTCTTTTGATATTATCAAGGATCTCTAAATATATAGCAGGAACACCAGACCATATATAGCAGCAATATTCAAAAAATACAAAATTAAAAAACTGTCTAGCACAGCATAGTTAATCAAATTTCTTAGCAGCAGACCTAGCAATAGATTCAGTAGTCTCTCCACTTCATATCAGCCAAGAAAGCACAATGAGTCATTCTCCAAGAGGTTAGCATCAGCCATGCTGATGAGGGGCAGAAAGGGGTCTCTCAAATGATTCATAGAGAGCAGTTTTGTTTTTGAAGTGTTAAAATTAACAAGCCATTCTTTAACCCAGTTAACAGACAATAGGTCATTTTTGACATCAGCCACCAATTTGACCTTATCGAACTGCTCAGACTTACAATCAAAACAAGAGTAAATAGTTGTGCCACCAGTATAGATACCATGCTGAGAGCTAGTACCATCAAGAAGGTCATTAATGAAGATTAAAAACAAAGTAGGACTAAGGATAGAGCCCTGAGAGACACCTGCATTAGTACAAATGGATCTAGAAGAGTGGCCATTCAGGTAAGAAAGACTGAATCAGTTCAAAAATTTGTCTGGAATCACCATAACTTTTCAACTTGTGAAGAAGACCAGAATGCCAAAGCCTGTCAATCACTTTCAAGGTGTCCAAAGAATTTTTTTTTTTTAATGAGCAACAGGATTTTGACCATTTGCTTAATTTTTGTCTGAGAATCAATTCTTGATTTTCTGTCAGAATTTCTAGCACAATGAGTTACTATTATTTATCTGCAGTCTACTATCCTCATCTTTGTTATTGTTATCACAGTGTTTCTGTCATTGTACCTTCCAGCCTTTGTCAGCTGCCTGTCAATCCATGTATGTTTCGTGGAATTTTGATTTGAACCCTTCACTGATTTTATGAGGCTAGATTGTTCTCATTCATGTCCAGGAATATCTCAAGTTCTTATTCAGTACTGATCAGTTTTTGCTTGCCATGTTTTCACTTAGTCCAAGTACACACTGCCCGGCCCAGGGATTGAACTCACAACTATTAGTTCACAAGTTGCTTAAATTATTTATTATTATTTTACAGATTCTAAGGAGGGCAACTCATTCCACCTTCTTAGTTTCACATTTTCTAGCAACATGAAGTAAAATGATTATATTGGATCAACTGCTACGTATGCCGTTAAGAAAGTTAGTTCACACTGTTAAACTAGATAATTTTTCTCATTAGAATCTATCTTAAACATCTGTAAGTCTACCATTCATCCATGCATTGAATATCGCAGACACATCTAGTCTGGTGCTTCTGCTATATATTTAGAGACTCTTGGCAAAATCCAAAGAGGAATCTGTAATGTTATCAGTCCTAACCCAGCATCTCAGCTTCAGTCACTTTCCCACCACCATAACATAGCTTTCCCATGACTTTGCTATAAATATTTTTATGATCATTGTTCTGATGAGCTTTCCCCTTGGCTAGCTCAACTTTATGAATTTAAGCGCAGTACTGGATTGGCAGCTAGGTCTTATGATTTTAAATTTTGAAATAGTTAGATGTGTAAGTTCTATACTATAAAAAAAAATGAATATAAACAGAAAGGTGTAGATATTTAAATTCCAACTGAAGATTTTACAAATGTATGAATATATCCACTTCTATGAGTATTTGAAGAGTGTATAGACAAGTCTTATTGGAAAAGAAATTAGTTGAGTTGAAAATCAGCATTTCAATTTCAATCCCAGTATGTGCATGCATCCTTAAATAAAAGCTAGATAGGCTAAAGTTTTCTGATGACATGAAGTGAAAAGATTATATTGAATTAATTACTAGGTCTGCTGCTAGGAAAGTTGGTTCACTGTGCCACACTAGACAATTTTTCTCACTAGAATCTATCTTAAATCTTTATAAATCTACTATTTCTTCATGAGTTGAATATTGTTGCCATATCTTCTGCTTTATATTTAGAGATTCTTGATAAAATCCAAAGAAGAATCTGCAATGTTATCTGACTGAAGCTGAGATGTGATATTTCTATAAATATTTTCCATGGTAATTGTTCTGATGCACTTTCCTTTTTGGTAGTTTGACTTTACAAATACAAGTGCAGTACTAGATTGGCAGCCAGGTCTCATCGTTTTACAGTTGAAATTACTAGATATAACTGTAATTTCTATTCTAACAGTTTCTGCTCTCACATTTCTTGTTTTCCAGTCAAATTTGATATTCAAAAATTTAAATGCAATGTTAATCAGCATCTTCTGTCTCTTTGATTCTTGTTCTTTTATCAACCCCTCCTCTCCTTAATGGTTTTTTTTTTTTTCAGATTCTTTCACTTTGGTAAATCCTTGTCTTAGTTGCTTAGATTTTTTTAAAAGTATAAAAAAAGGAATTAAGTTGTAACACACTAGTTGTTTTATTGTCCTTTTGATTTTTCTGAGTTGTTAAGATTTAGTCAAATATGAGTAGATTTGCTTATAAAATTTTTTTTTGAAAATCATACATATGTTTAACAGATTTCCAATGGGAAACACGTGTACTCACTAAAAATAACATTTATAGTAATAAGAAATAATGTCAGATAAAAATATCCTTAAACGTCATCACTCTGTA